AGACGAGTATAGGCTAGGTGGACAAAGACTACAGACCTCACTCAGGGAGAAAGACCTCGGGGTGACCATAACACCGAGCACGTCACCGGAGGCACACATCAACCAAATAACTGCTGCAGCATACGGGCGCCTGGCAAACCTGAGAATGGCGTTCCGATACCTTAATAAGGAATCGTTCAAGACACTGTACTCTGCATACTGGAGTATGCAGCACCAGTCTGGAACCCACACCTGGTCAAGCACGTCAAGAAGTTATAGAAAGTACAAAGGTTTGCAACAAGGCTAGTCCCAGAGCTCAGGGGAATGTCGTACGAGGAAAGGTTGAGGGAAATCGGACTGAGACACTGGAGGACAGAAGGGTCAGGGGAGACATGATAACCATAATACTGGGAAGACAAGGTGGACGAATAGGATGTCAGAGATACATGAACAAGGGGTCAATACGGGAAACTGAAGACTCAGACGGTCACAGAGTTAGGACGATTTTTCAGTCATAGAGTCGTCAGGAAGTGGAATAGCTAGCAAGTGATGTAGTGGGCGAACCAACTAGTTTTAAGAAGAGTATGAAAAGCTCAGGAAGCAGAGAGAGAGAGCGAAGAGAGGGTATAGCAATCAGTGAAGAGCGGGGCATGAGCTGAGCCCTACCTGCAACAATTAGTAGAGTGCAATTAGGGAGTACACACACAACATAAGCACACACAGAAACACACCAAGAAACACTCAAACACACAACACACACACACACACACACATCACACACAACACACGCCAGACACAACACACACACACGCATACCACACAACACACGCATTACACACACACACACACACACACACACACACACACACACACAAACACACAACCCCCACAGACGCACACGACTCATTACAACAGGCTAGTGTCGAATCGATATGTGCGGGACAACAATGGAAACTAACACACACACACGATACACGTACATGTTATCTGAGTTTCTGATTATCGGAGAGAGTCCGGGGACAACGCCCCACGCCGGTCGTGCCCAGCCCTAGTCATGTCCCAGGTGCGACCCACACACATCGACTAACACCCAGGTACCCATTTTACGATGGGGAACATAGACAACAGGTGGAAAGAAAGTCCAATGTTTCTACTTGGTGGGAACGACCAGGCCCATCACCGTGTGAGTAGAGCGTTAACCACCACCACCAAAGTCCATGTAAACATTATCCAGGACTCAAGTCCGGCAGGCCGGAGTTGAGTCCTGGAGATGGGAAGTACAGTGTCTGCACTCTGAAGAGGAATGTTAATGTTGTAGTTTTATAACTACAGTGTATGTGCGCCTCTTTCAAGACAGTGAATGATAGTGAAAGTTTTTCGGGTCACCCTACCTTGGTGGGAAACGACCGATGTATTTATATATATATATATATATATATATATATATATATATATATATATATATATATAATATATATATATATATATATATGCAAAACAACCACTCTGAAAGAATAGAGAAATTCCAAGCGCTTTCGTGACTACTCACATTATCAAGGAACTATGAAAGTAAAGCATCCAAGGAAGCTATATAAGGGGTCTGGCAACACCTCACTATCAGATCCCACAACGGTTAAACACCTGACGCGCGCCGACCCAACTGGATAGGTCCTATGCACAACTCACCCACAAACTATTGTACCCAAGAAAATTTAAAAATTATTATTTGTCCAGTGTATTATTAAATTCTTCCCAAATTCTATTAATTATAAATGGATCTAATTTATATAAACCAAAGGAAATATTCATATTATTGTCAAAACTGCTTTTTATGAAACAAGATTCAATTATATTCCTGTTGACCATGGACTTGCTTGATACTACTTTCTCAACTTTTTGAAAATCAATTGGATGGTTAAAATCTCTTACATGAATAAATAGAGCATTGGAATCTTGTCCAGTTCTAATGCTATATTTATGCTGTTTTAATCTTAGCTCGAGATTTTTACCAGATTGACCGTAATAAACTTTATCGCAAATTTTACAAGGAATCATAGACACATCCATCAGCATTTTGGGGGGAATTCTTTATCAAAGTTTTTTTACTGTATCAAGATTTTTGAATACAACTTTAATATTAAAAGTCTTAAGAAGAGAAGGCATATCAACCAAGTTTTCATGGTAAGGGAGAACCAACATATTTTTAGTTGAATAAGGCTGGTTGTTCCTTTTTACAATCCAAAAAGTGACTACTCACACTTATCAAGGAACAATTGATAATGTGAGTAGTCGCGAAAGCGCTTGGAATTTCTCTATTCTTTCACAGTGGTTGTTTTGCATATTCTGAAATCACCTGTTTACTGTGATCTTATTGCATATATATATTTTTATTATTATTATCACACTGGCCGATTCCCACCAAGGCAGGGTGGCCCGAAAAAGAAAAACTTTCACCATCATTCGCTCCATCACTGTCTTGCCAGAAGGGTGCTTTACACTACAGTTTTTCAACTGCAACATTAACACCCATTATATATATATATATATATATATATATATATATATATATATATATATATATATATATATATATATATATATATATATTCACTACAGTATTGTTTGGAATTTGGTGTAGATCATTTTCGTGTATTGGAAGTGGAAGAAAGCATAATTAGGCAACATGAAGAATACAGTGTAACAAAATACTGAAGATATGAAACAGAGAGAGAGAAAAGGATTTAGTTATTATTAACAAAATACTCTAATCGGAAGACTGTGTAAATAAAATTGCAAAAAAAAAAAAATCAATTGCTATTCTATCAAGTTATAAAATATTTTCCCAAATATGTTAAAGAAATATTTTAAAGTTTTTGAAAAAAAAAGACTGTCAGAAGCGGAATCCGCTTGCTGGTCACACAGAAGCGGAATCTGATTGCTGGTCACACAGAAGCGGAATCTGATTGCTGGTCACACAGAAGCGGAATCTGCTTGCTGGTCACACAGAAGCGGAATCTGATTGCTGGTCACACAGAAGCGGAATCTGATTGCTGGTCACACACAAGCGGAATCTGATTGCTGTCACACCTTTATAAGAAGAATATCAAATAGAATAAGTCCTAAGAAGAGTTACAATAACAGAAGCAAAAAATAGAAGTGAGATGAAAGGTTGCTGGCACTGATACATAGGGATATCTTTATTGAGACGTTTCTCCTACTAGGGGCTTTATTAATCAAAGACAGAAACTTGATTACGACGTTTTGTACAGAGAAACCAGTGGAAGTTGATGAGCGTTACACCAATAGAAGAAGTGGTCCCATGTGGATGTAGCCCAGTGGTCACAGTGGATCAGGGCCATAAGGTAGGCCACAGATTAAGCATTCGAGTAGTACAGATATTCTCTAGTTTTGCACAATATTTTTAAATGAAGCCAGTGGGTGTATAGGAAAGCAGCAGCAGCAGCAGACATGATCACATGTGGGCTGGGGCTAACTAGTTGAATGTCTTGTCTAAAAAAGTGTCCAGAGATTTCGTGATCAAGTTGTAAAATACTGAATTCTGTGTTTCAAGATTCCATGGTCTTGCTCTAGCAGGCCCACCTAGTTGGCCTAACCTCTTGCCAACTATGAGCCCCACCCACATGTGACGACATCTACTACTGCTGCATCTCTCCATGTCTTAAACTGGCTCAACTATGAAAGGCTTCATTCTCATATTTCTCTACTAGAGTGATGATGCTGGAACACACGACTCTCAGTAAAGATACTCAGGTGTTGCGCATGTTTCTTATTCTTCAGTTTTTCAGTATATATACCCATGCTGGCTGAGAAGAGGAGATAGGATAACCACATACAAGATTATGAAAGAATGTAAAATAATAAGAAAGACTTCTCAGCACCTGCAACATAACAAGGACAGAAAGACTAATTGTAGGGTGAGAAAAAGGTGAAAACAAAAGCATACAAGGATAATGTTCTTCATAGAATAATAAACCAGGGAAATTAGTTGACAATGTAGTGTTACACTCATTGGAAATGAAAATGAAGTGAAGAAGAAATAATTAAAGACCGGACCAAACAATCTTTTGACAATCCAGGTCCATTATTTCCAATATTTCCAATTTGGTTTAGAAATACCAAACATAGGATGGTTGATTGTATTGGTTTAATACCCCAGTGAGTAAGCTTACTCACTGGCCTGGAGTTTTATGTCTCACTTGCCATGGGTTCTAACCCCAACCGTACCGTGGTTTGTTTGCAGTCGTGTTATTATGATTTCATGAGTCATAAAGGAAATGAATATTTGGTTACCATCTGTGTACCACCACTCGGTATCCTGAAGCAATACCATTCAAATGCATCAACACGCGCTCTGTTTGTTTTGGTTCTGGTGAAAATTTTTGCTAAAAAATGAAATCGAATCAGAAAAGGGATCAAACTTCACATCTAAGATGTTTTGTGACGTTCTTTTGAATTTCGAATAACCACTACGGGCCCTTCCACGTACCCCGCTAAAATTGAAGGTGTGATTGAATAGTCTACCAGACATATTTAAGTATATTAAAAGAGTATGTGATGGACCGCAAATCATACTGGGTCGAGGAGCACCTTTGATTTTATCTGCAATGATAGGAAAAATGTTTCAGAGTTGCTTGGTTGCAGTTCGTATGAGCTGATATATGGGTATTCGTCTCAAAAAGAATTGGATCAGAGGGGAAATTACCAAGACTCCTTCTCGTGATCCCTTTAAACTTTGGATTAAACTTCGCTAGGTTCGTGATCTTGCTGTGGCAGATCTGAGAGTAGCGAATATTGTAATGAATGGCTAGTATTGTTCTAATCCAGTACTTCTGTAAGTAGTTTTCTTAGCAAACACAAATACTGGGCCCAGTTTCTGACTCATTATGTGCCTCTGTAAACACAAATATGAGACCCAATAAGTACATCTGTAATCCTTTGACAACCGCCCATAAGATGGATCTGGGCTGCATAACGAAGACATTAAACTCATCATTTCTTACCTGATAAAGTAATCATGAACGAAGTCTTGGTGTTCGTCTAGCCAGGCCTCCATGCGTGCGCACTCTGGGTCGTAGTTAAGGAGGGGCGTGAGCACCGGACCGCCCCCCGCCCCGCCCACCGTCAACTCTCCGCCACTCGACATAGCTGCCGGACCGGCGGGGTCCCCGCTGCTGCCGGCGATGGACCCGCCCACTCCGCTAGTCTTGATCTCATCGTTGTGGCTGCCCCAACCTGCCGGAGGAGAGGTCAAGATGGGTCAGTCTGGTGCGCTTGCTGTCTTCCTCAAGCAAGCCGATCTATGGTGATAATTACACATTTAATATGGATGTTGATGGTGATAATGAGATGTTTAATAAAAGTAAGGATCCACCAATAACCCGAAGCTTATGACGTATCGGACCGACTCGTCCCATTGACTAGTCAATGGGACGAGTCGGTCCGATACGTCAATGTTCCGAGTCAATGTTCTGTTATACCAAATATATTAAGAATTATACCACGTACATTAAGAACTATACTGTCAGTAGAGTTATGAGTCGTGTTGTACTGGTACATGTACAATCTGTCCGAAACTGTCTGGAGTATACAGGAGGGCCCCGCTTATACAGCAGGTTATGTTCTGGGCTACCGCTGTAAAACGACAATCGCTGTAAAGTGAAACGTAACTTTTTTCACTTTCAAATATATATAAAACACTGATAACATGTTTACTCTACCATATTTTAGGTGAGCACTAGAGCTATACCTGGAGAGGGTTTCGAGGGTCAACGCCCCCGCGACCCGTTCTGTGACCAGGCCTCATGGTGGATCAGGGCCTGATCAACCAGGATGTTACTGTTGGCTGCACATAATCCAACATACGAACCACAGCTCAGCTGATCAGGTACTGACTTTAGGTGCCTGTCCAAAGCCTTCTTGAAGGACATCCAGGGGTCTATTGATAATCCCCCTTACTTATGCTGGGAGGCAGTTGAACAGTCTTGGGCCCCTGACACTTATTGTCTTTGGTGTCTTTTTTCTGTCTCATAACCTCCAAGAGTTGAGGTACGTCTTGCTACTTCTACTTACACTTAGGTCACACTACACATACATGTACAAACATGTATATACACACCCCTCTGGGTTTTCTTCTATTTTCTTATTAGTTCTCGTTCTTGTTTATTTCCTCTTATCTCCACGGAGAAATGGAATAGAATTCTTCCTTCGTAAGTCATGCATGTCGTAAGAGGCGACTAAAATGCCGGTAGCAAAGGGCTAGTAACCCTTTTTCTTTTTGGGCCACCCTGCCTCGGTGGGATACGTCCAGTGTGTTGAATTTGATTAGAATTATTATCATTAATAAGGCGTCGAGACCAGAGGGACACTCATAGTGATTTTCAAGGACCCAAGTGGAAATAAGTCACTTTGTCTGACTTTTTTGGGTTATCCTAGGTAATCTACACATATACTGCTATGTACGATAATCTATGTAACTGTATTTATGTGTACCTGTACCTGAATATAAACTTACCGTATTTCGCGGCTTATAAGACGCGGCTAATAAGATTTGTTTTAGTTGCAATGGCTCGACACCGGACGTAACTGCGAGAGCTACAGCTCACCCCACACTCCAAACTTATAGCTACCTTCAATGACCTTCAGTTTATAGGACGCAGGGTAGTTCTTGGAGACATTTTAGGGAAAAAATGCGTCTAATAAGCCGCGAGATACGGTACTTACCATACCTACCACACTTGACTTTCAACAATGTGTTACTCACCTCTCGCCCTACATTAAGATTACAAATATTTTAAGGTAAGAAATGAATGTACTGTGTATGTATTCTACTTTTTATTGTTTTTTAATGCCTAGTTCTACTGTTAGCTTAATATAATGTTAGTGTAAACTTGTTATCTGGCATCTGTATGCATTTATTAGTGGAGAAAATGGCGTTCTGCTTTCCGGCAGCAGCCAGGAACCAAAAGTGGGGCCCTACCATATATATATATATATATATATATATATATATATATATATATATATATATATATATATATATATATATATATATATATATATTCATTTCATTAAAACTGATTATATTATCAGCATTTAAATGTGAAATGAGAAGTTGATGCAGGAGTATGGAAAGAGGTGGAGGGAACAACCTTGGGTACCGCAAGTGTAGTCTTGTGTTCACACCCAGTGCATGTACGGCTTGTTCACTGCCACTGTTCTCACACTAGTGAACCTAGTGGCCAGCTCAACACTCAGTTCTCAAAGAGAAGGTAATGCTTAAGTCTCTGAGGAAGAGGTAGAGCGCTGACCCACGCTGAGCCATGTGCTTCAGGATGGTGTCTCCTCATGCACTCTGCAGAGATGCTACTCCATACAGGTGCTTCAGGATGGTGTCTCTTCATGCACTCTGCAGAGATGCTACTCCATACAGGTGAACTATCATAACTTGGTTTATGGTTCCATATATGTACATCAACAACAGCATACAGTGGAGCCTCTTAGTAAGACAGCTTCTTGGTAAATGCTCGTTGATCCTTCCCATTGATTATGTAATGCATCTCAGCCAGTTTCCCTATATACAGCAGTATTGTCCACATAGAGCATGACAATGATTCCGTGGTTGGGATGGAAACGTGTTAATCCCTGGGAACCATCAGTCATCATTGTAGTTTCTGTCACAAAGCCATCTAGAGACGTGTGAGTGAGCCATGAGTCTTTGAGTGAACTGTGTTGCTGTTGTACTGGCCTGAAAAATCCATATACTATATACACATTGCTCACATTAAAATATTTTCGTCCTTAGCTCATAGTGAGTGGTGACTATTTATTCTAGGAAGTCAGAATAACTGAAAAAATGGGTATAATTGAAAACCGTTGCATTAGCGACATGCCGTAAAGCGAAGCACTGTAAAATGGGGCCCTTCCTGTACTCAGTATTCGCCTTTATAGACAGAGACTGTGCGAGTCTCACAAAGACATTGGTCATCAGTGCCCGAAGGCCAGCTCAGCTAATTGCAGCTTAAGTTATGGAGGCTCAGATGATGGAAGTATTACTGTGGCACTACAACTAAGTGTATCCATGTGTTCCTCAACTAACTGTATCCATGTGTTCCTCAACTAACTGTATCCATGTGTTCCTCAACTAACTGTATCCATGTGTTCCTCAACTAACTGTATCCATGTGTTCCTCTACAATAAACGGCAGAACTGGTATTGACAGATTGGCATGACAGACTGGTTATCATTGGTGTCCCAGTGATGGACGTCTGTGGAATGGTGAAACAACTTGCTTCAGTGTAGGTGACTGCCACCTGATCTTAAGTGCATACATGCTGCGTCTTGAAGAATTAGACACACGTGCAATACCTCTGTATATTTACTGTAGAAGTTTCACCATCCAGTGGCTTTATCAATACAAAATCAAAAGACATAATGGGAAGACAGTTGAACTATATACAAAAGACAAGGTGATCAGTTCCTCAGTCTTGGAGTTAGAAGCACCGTAGTCTTGAAGACTACGGTGTTCCTGTCTAACTCCAGGCGTAGTCTTGAAGACTACGCCTGGAGTTAGACAGGAGTTACCCAAGGCTGGGTTCTGGCCTTGGGGCAGGCTCGAAGCCTGATGTGGAGGGTGAGGTTAAAGCTAGCCAGTGCCACCATTAAGCCAGTCCAGCTGCCGCTAAGCCAGCATGATTGTCAGCAAGCCAGCGTCATATCTAAACCACGTATAACTACTGGGAGCGCCTGGAAGCACTTGACTTGTACACACTGGAGCGCAGGCGAGAGAGATATATCATAATCTACACCTGGAAGATTCTGGAGGGACTAGTCCCTAATATGCACACAGCAATCACTCCATACGAAAGCAAAAGACTTGGCAGGCGATGCAACAAACCCCCAGTGAAAAGTAGGGGCGTCACTGGTACACTAAGAGAAAACGCAATAAGTGTCCGGAGCCCAAGCCTGTTCAACAGCCTCCCACCAGCAATAAGGGGCATTACCGGTAGACCCCTGGTTGTCTTCAAGAGGGAGCTGGACAGATACCTTAAGGCGGTGCCGGATCAGTCGGGCTGTGGTTCGTACTTTGGATTGCGTGCAGCCAGCAGTAACAGCCTCGTTGATCAGGCTCTGATCCACCGGGAGGCCTGGTCGTGGACCGGGCCGCGGGGGCGTTGATCCCCCGAATGCCCTCCAGGTAAACTCCAGGTAGAGTAGATCTTCTATTCCTTTTATGTTCATATGTCAGCAGTAATGATTCCTGCCTCAGCTCCAATTTTAGTCATAAGCCACTTCCAACCCAGTTCTAAGCCAGCACAGCTGTCATCACTTCTGCCTCTTGCCAGCTGCAAGCTTACAACGGCCGCCTCTTTCAGTGGTACACCCCTCCCGGCTGTGTTCTGGCCAAGCCAGCCGTGCTAAGCCACCTCCCATGGTGTCTGGTGGCGTTGATTGTCAACCATGACTGTTCTCACTACCTCTCTATGTGGAGTGTCCAGATGAATTTTGTTATAGACGAGAAAATAGGTGGAGATACAGTCTTCCTGCCAGTGTTGTGGTCAAGTCTCCGCACATCGACAGGAAAGGCGTGGTGCTCCTGTGCACGTCGCCTGATCAACCAGCCTGTTACAATGTTCTCTCTTCCCTGCATTGCCCTGATTATTGTGATAAGTAGCTCAGTATCACTGCTATAGTGTTAAGTGCTACTTTATTTAACAGCTTTTTTCAGCTATACACCATAGTCCTCTACTGTATTCTGTTGTTTCTGGTGTTACTTTCCTGTTCCCTGGATATTACTGTGCAGTTCTTCACGGTGTGTTGCTACACACTTTGCATACTACCTCCAGAAGTATTACTTTTGTTACTTTTTTCTGTGTTGCACATTTCTCTTTTATTTTTGGCACTTTTTACGGATTTTTTTTTTCAATTAAATTTAGCGCTGTTGTTTGCTTTTATTAGCGGTTATGTTGAAAGTTTCACCTATAACTGTGTACTGTGTCCTTTTACCACTGTTGGAGAGTACCATTGTACGTTTTATTTTTGTTGGTGCTGTTGTAAAAACACTGATTTGTGTCTGTATCAATTTTATCACTTGTTTTGCAGGAATAAAGATTATTTATTTATTCTTTCTAGTGTTCTTATTTTGTTTCCCGTATTTTCCATTTATTTCTGGGTGTTTATCTAGCTATGTGGTATAGTTCTAGCTTTTATTTTTCCTTTCGTCTGATTATAGTGTTATATTTTGTGCTGTTGTTTGTACACCTGCTCAGGTCTCTCTAGTTTGCCTTCGATTTTGTTGGGGGAATTTTGAGATTGAGATTTGCCAGTGGCTCGCCCACGCCAGTTGTGTAATTTTTTCTCTCTTGATTAACTACAGATTTTCCAGAGGTACACTGTATTTTTCTTTTTGTTTTTTTAATACATCAGCTGTATCACACCGAGGCAGGGTGACCCGAAAAAGAAGAGAGATTTTAGCCATCATTCACTCCATCACCGTCTTGCCAGAGGTGCGCCGACAGATTTCAGGCTCTGTACTTTCCACCTCCAGGACTCCAGTCCGGCTAACCGGCTTCCTTGAATGCCTTCACAAATGTTACCTTGCTCACACTCCAACAGCACGTCAATTCATCAAAACCACTAGTATCCACTTTTAAAACGCTCGCAGACGTCTGTTGGATGTCCAAGAACATCATATACAAACCCTCCCTTACCTCTCCCTTTAACTTTTCCACCTTCCCTCCACTACAGATTTATATACCTTGCAAGTTATCCTATTTTCCTAAACACTCTAAATGTTCAACACCTCAACAACTCCTCCTCAGCCCTCTGGATAATAGTTTTAGTAACTCCACACCTCCTCCTAATCTCCAAGCTACGAATTCTCTGCTACAAATTCTCACACATTGCCCTCAGACACTACATCTCCACCGCCTCTAGCAGCAGTAATATTTAAAGGTTTATTTAATTTGGGATGTGCTAATTTACACTTGTTTTGCAGAGTTGTGGCAATCATTTTCACCTTCCATTTATTGTAGTTTTTATTTATTTATAATTGGGATTTTCACCTGAGATGTCACATGTGTTTCACTTATGGGTGAGTTAGTTACAAGTTCTACCATTTATTGTACAGGAGTATATGAGTACAGTGAGCTGCTGTGCCACGGTAACATGTCCACTCTCTAAGGCTACAAGATTTCAACTGACAAGAACTGATCTGACCTTCAAGCGCTGATAACCACTGACTATATGACTCACACGTATGGCCTGTCTATAGAGGCAAATACTGAGTGCACCCGAGACTTACTCTCGGACTATACATGTACCATTACAACTTGACTCATACTCTACTGACAGTATCCAGTATATTAAGAATTATACCAAGTATCTTAGATGTTTATGGTAGTGACAGCAGTATACAGGAGGCTCTACTAAGAGGAAGCGCAGTAAAAGCAAGACAGAAAGCTTTATTGACGGAAAGAACTGTGAAAATACCAGACAGGATAGCAAGACAAACAGGGAACTCTAGTGATGGCATGGCCAGGGTAAGCATCAGACAGGGAACTCTAGTAATAGCAAGCAGAGTGTAAGCAGCAGACAGAAAGCTCTGCGGGCATCAAGCCACTGATCCAACAGGTTATGATGGCTATGGTAGTTAACGGCAAGATTTGCCGACGAGCATGATAGACCACCACTGAACATATTGTCTCTCCAGCCTATGATGGCTGTGAAACCCTGATGCAAACCCCGTGCAGCAACAGCCTGCTAGCACAATCAGACGCTGTGAGGAGGGACGGGGAACACAAAGTCAATGACTAAGACAGTATTTAGAGCACATTTCGCCCTGTTACTCATAGAGACATGAAGAATCTTTACACAGAGAGAAACGTTTGTCAGATTTAAGGCACGATCTTAGCCAGTCAACAGAAAAGTTTGGCCCAGAAGACAAAACCCCTGAACACGATCACTGGTGTATCGCGCGCACACACGCAGACACACACACACACACACACACACACACACACACACACACACACACACACACACACAGAAAACACCCACACATGACTGTCTGCACAAGTTTACACACCTCATTTTCAATGTGCACCACTACATAGGCATCACCTTCAGAGTGGGAGGCAGAGTGGGAGGTAGAGTGGGATTTGGAGGGGGAAGAGAGTCAGTAAATATCTGCTGAGAACCCACCAACTACAATCTAGTTCTACTTGTGCCACTACTACTACGTCTTGTGTGTGTGTGTGTGTGTGTGTGTGTGTGTGTGTGTGTGTGTGAGGGACCCAAGATAAGCCTGGTTATCATTACATATGCAGAACACTGAGAGTCATAATGAATGGTGCGGTAGTAACACACCCGCACAACACAAGGTGGTTGAGTCTGGAGAGTGGGCGGCGTGGGCGGCTAGTGGGCGTGGGTGCCAATCTTCTTGCCGCCAGTGCTGCCACCTCCTGCGACGCCCATGGCCCTCCTCCTCCCGCTGGTGAACCTGCTGATGCTGGAGAAACGTATGCTGCTGCTGCTGCTGTATATACCCGTGCTGTTGCTGCTGCTGCTGTTGGTGCTTGCCACAGTTCAGGAGGACAGCTGAGGCTCCCTGACCCATCCCTGGTGAGAGACAGCACCCACACCATACCACACTCACTCCCCACTCATCCTCACCCACCACATCCACCTCTAGCACCTCTCACACTCCCCATCATTTGCCTCTTCTTTCCCCTCTTCGGGTGTGAAGCATCACCATCCGATGTACTTTTTCCCAGACTTCTCACAGCATTTTCACCACTTAATTTGGAATTACCATGCTTGCACTCGAACAGCCACTTTAGTTCAGTTCTGTCCTTCCCGACACAACTACTCCACCAGCACCGACTTTACATTATTTTCATCGTGTCACTTTGCACTGAAATCAGCATAAATCACAGTTTATTCAGAGAGTTAACAGCGCACTTTTTCTAGTGGTGATGGTGAGTGTGTGTGAGGGTGACGACACAGGCTGACAGCTCCGCCCTCACACTTTTCTCGTACGTTTTATTGCTGTCAACTACAATATACCTAACTCACTGGGCAAGTAAACCTTCAGCAAGTTTAAACTGAAATTTCAGTGCTTTATCTTCAGATAAATATGACTTTTTTTTTTCTAATCAGAGACGGGAAGTTAAAACAATACGAGCGTAATATCACCAGCATATAAAAGTTTTTGTTATTGTCTTTTATAGCTTCAATTATGAAGTAAAGTGGACAATGTTGACCAGGGAGAGAGAGAGAGAGAGAGAGAGAGAGAGACAACACACACACACTATAGAAGTAATGAAGTTAGAACAGGAGAAATTTCACTCCAGTATCACTGTGCATTACGACCATTAGAGGAGACCAAGAGCTCACTGAGCCAGCACCTCGTCTCTCACTTACATCAACATAGACTTTACTGTGACCACCGCTGAGTGATCTATTACCCACTTAGCCGCATCTTCCACTTCAACTTGACACCTCACGTCCAGCGCCCACAATCACCCTATCACCCCTCACCACTTGACCATCCCAACACCCGTGTCAGGCAATCATGCTCTTGGTTAGGAGATGAGGAGGAGTCTTGCTGTAGTCATTCTGTTTATATCTTAACTTTCTGTACTATACCACCTTAAACTTTTATTTTACAGACGTACATTGTCACTCTCGCTTCACAAGAAATTACAAAGTATATTTTGTGACCATTGTATTTTCCGTACCACTGCTTTTTCTGTTCATAGTTTAACAGCGACAATATTCCCATAGTAAGTTCCGTATATTATCATGTATGAAATCTGTAAGAGAACTGTTACAGAGAACAAATTGATTCCACTGAAAAAAAACAAAATTAAATATTATTCACATATCACACTTATAAATAACGTCCATTTAACATTTAGTTCCTGTACAACCACCAATGTTCAAATGTAAAAAAATTTAAGCAATGCGTTGTAAATTGTGATTAAATTCACATTATCAGTAACACAACCCAACACAAGACAAGAAAACAGAAATCTTGTCATCTCAGAAACCTATTAAAATTTCAAACAAACAAGAAAATAATATACAGAGGATAAGAAAGAGGAAGAAAGAAAATGTAAAAAAAAAATATATAATGGACAGGAGTAAAACAAACTTGCGAAAATCAAATTACATGAAAAAAATAAGGAAAATACACAGAACTTAGGAAATGCACAAAACCAGAGACCTGGAGGAGGAAAAGTGCGAGACTCAACACTCTGAAACAGGTTTCAGTGTTTGTTTACACAAGAGGATGCTTGACAACACTCTGAAACAGGTTTCAGTTGTGTTTTACACAAGAGGATGCTTGAACTCGAAATTGTGCTTTACAAGGTGCTTCGGTTTAAAATCCCAATAGGAACATATTAGATATCACTCTGTGTGACATACAAAGAGTATATTATAATTCGCTGTATGTAAAACTCCCGGACAGGCCCCCATACTATAAACACAGGTACTTAATGGCCTGTGACCTGATCGTAATGGGATCTGGAGCAAAATAAGCTCAGCAGATAGACTATGTATATCTTACCTTCACCCACTGTGAGTCTGGAGTGAATGTGAAGAATTATCACGTTTTCAGCTCTTTTAGGTTCGCAATGTAAAACAATAAGTGTCAGGGGCCCAAAACTGTCCAATGCCTCAAAGCATAATTATGGGGGATTACCAATAGACCCCTGGTTGTCTTCAAGAGGGAGTTGGATAGACACCTACAGTCAGTGCCTGATCAGCTGGGCTGTGGTTCGTACGTCGGTTTGCGTGCTGCCAATAGTAACAGCCTCGTTGATCAGGCCCTGATCCACCACGAGGCCTAGTCATGGATCGGGCTGCGGGAGCGTTGCCCCCCAAGGTATAAAAGTAAACTGGATGACGAATTTAGACGGACACATAATAAGCTAGGAAAATGGGGACATTCCTGTTAACTGTTATAAACAAACATGAGAAACCACTGGATAAAAACACTGTGAAAAACAAAACACTGACAACTAACAAACAGCTCGGTTTTCGATCAATAAATACGTACATATGTTGTCTACTGAGCTGCAACGACAGTCAGTGACATTCAAGACTCAGGCAGAATGCATTTGTTTCGACTCTCAAAAATATTTTCGATTGTGTTCCTTACAAAAAACTGATCTCAAAACTTCCAGACACAGGAAGACAGATTACAAGACATTCTTCTGCAGTGGATGAGATATTTTCCCTTTAGAAGAAAAAACGAACAATGATACAGATGTAATTATTGGGTTAGGTCACCACCGGGTGTCAGAGAAATCGGTGTTTACCCCAAGAATGTTTATAGTTTATATAAACATCTTACCAGAAGACGTAAAATATACACGAACATGTTGCAAGATATTGAATAAAAATTACTGTGTATCAGCGTAATAAACCCGTCACAGACTGAGCAAGTAGACTCAGAGGAGAATCCAAAAATTTAATGTAGTTAAGTGTCATGTATAGAAATAGGGGAACTTGTCATCTTACATGTTCCTGAGACAGAAAGATTCACCTGTCATCTTATATGTTCCTGAGACAGAAAGATTCACCTGTCATCTTACATGTTCCTGAGACAGAAAGATTCACCTGTCATCTTATATGTTCCTGAGACAGAAAGATTTACCTGTCATCTTACATGCTCCTGAGACAGAAAGATTTACCTGTCATCTTACATGTTCCTGAGACAGAAAGATTTACCTGTCATCTTACATGTTCCTGAGACAGAAAGATTTACCTGTTATCTTACATGTTCCTGAGACAGAAAGATTTACCTGTCATCTTACATGTTCCTGAGACAGAAAGATTCACCTGTCATCTTAAAATGTTACTGAGACAGAAAGATTCACCTGTCATCTTATATGTTCCTGAGAAAAGAAAGATTTACCTGTCATCTTATATGTTCCTGAGACAGAAAGATTTACCTGTCATCTTACATGTTCCTGAGACAGAAAGATTTACCTGTCATCTTATATGTTCCTGAGACAGAAAAGATTCACTGTCATCTTACATGTTCCTGAGACAGAAAGATTCACCTGTCATCTTATATGTTCCTGAGACAGAAAGATTTACACTGTCATCTTACATGTTCCTGAGACAGAAAGATTACCTGTCATCTACATGTTCCTGAGACAGAAAGATTCACCTGTCATCTTACATGTTCCTGAGACAGAAAGATTTACCTGTCATCTTACATGTTCCTGAGACAGAAAGATTTACCTGTCATCTTACATGTTCCTGAGACAGAAAGATTCACCTGTCATCTTACATGTTCCTGAGACAGAAAGATTCACCTGTCATCTTACATGTTCCTGAGACAGAAAGATTTACCTGTCATCTTACATGTTCCTGAGACAGAAAGATTTACCTGTCATCTTATATGTTCCTGAGACAGAAAGATTCACCTGTCATCTTACATGTTCCTGAGACAGAAAGATTCACCCTGTCATCTTATATGTTCCTGAGACAGAAAGATTTACCTGTCATCTTACATGTTCCTGAGACAGAAAGATTCACCTGTCATCTTATATGTTCCTGAGACAGAAAGATTTACCTGTCATCTTACATGTTCCTGATGACAGAAAGATTTACCTGTCATCTTATGTTCCTGAGACAGAAAGATTCAACCTGTCTTCTTATATGTTCCTGAGACAGAAAGATTCACCTGTCATCTTACATGTTCCTGAGACAGAAAGATTTACCTGTCATCTTACATGTTCCTGAGACAGAAAGATTCACCTGTCATCTTACATGTTCCTGAGACAGAAAGATTCACCTGTCATCTTACATGTTCCTGAGACAGATTCACCTGTCATCTTACATGTTCCTGAGACAGATTCACCTGTCATCTTACATGCTCCTGAGACAGAAAGAAATACCTGTCATCTTACATGTTCCTGAGACAGAAAGATTCACCTGTCATCTTACATGTTCCTGAGACAGATTCACCTGTCATCTTACATGTTCCTGAGACAGATTCACCTGTCATCTTACATGTTCCTGAGACAGATTCACCTGTCATCTTACATGTTCCTGAGACAGATTCACCTGTCATCTTACATGTTCCTGAGACAGATTCACCTGTCACGTTACATGCTCCTGAGACAGAAAGATATACCTGTCATTTTACAAATTTATAAGACAGAAAGAGCATCAATCTTACCATTAATTAAAGGGTCAAACAGCTTCTCTTTTCACAGTCACATCACAAAAAATGAGAAAGCTTTAACGCCAGAGCTGTTGTTGTTAAACAACAGCTGTACATGGTTGGTACATGTTAGTTACCACCTGCCAAAGACTCACCTATAGACACTTGCTTTGTTTACTGGCTGAATGACTCTGTGTGAGGGGGGGGATAGATACGTGCAATGATTCTGAGAATGATTCTAAGAATGATTCTGAGAATGATTCTAAGAATGATTCTGAGAATGATTCTAAGAATGATTCTAAGAATGATTCTAAGAATGATTCTAAGAATGATTCTAAGAATGATTCTAGGAATGATTCTAAGAATGGTTCGAAGAATAATTCTAAGAATTATTCTAAGAATGATTCTGAGAATGATTCTAAGAATGATTCTAAGAATGATTCTAAGAATGATTCAAAGAATAATTCTAAGAATTATTCTAAGAATGATTCTGAGAATGATTCTAAGAATGATTCTAGGAATGATTCTAAGAATGATTCGAAGAATAATTCTAAGAATTATTCTAAGAATGATTCTGAGAATGATTCTGAGAATGATTCTAAGAATGATTCTAAGAATGATTCTAGGAATGATTCTAAGAATGATTCTAAGAATGATTCTAAGAATGATTCTGAGAATGATTCTAAGAATGATTCTAAGAATGATTCTGAGAATGATTTTGAGAATGTCTACCAACTATGTTGGTGGACATCCTCAGAATTATCATCTCTGTTATTACTAACATCAACTTCAACAAAAATAAAAAACTTCACGTAACAGAAATATTTTATACAAAGTGAGAACTTGTAGACATGTTTATATTACAGAGCGAAATTAGCGATGCAAATTGTGAAATTACCGTTGCAACCTTGCAAGCAAGTACTGACGACGTTGTTGCTGGAAAGTGAGAAATATTGAGAGAGAGAGAGAGAGAGAGAGAGAGAGAGAGAGAGAAGAGAGAGAGAATGAGAGAGACAATAAGAGAGAGATGAGCGATGAGAGACGAGGATGAGAGAGAGAGAGAGAGATAAATATAGGAATTATAATACAATATAACATCCCTAAATACATAATAAATTATTATTGTAT